CATCGCCATGTAAATATCTCCACTGCTATTGTCATAATCATGTCATATTCCCACTGCTCTTGTTATCAACATCATCAACGTAGTATTATCCCCATTTCCCAATTATCATTATACGTTCTTTATTCCTAATTACTGGAGTGAGATGATCAACTCACGGGAGGCTACCCCCCCCCTCCACCTCCCCAACCGTGACTGAAGTTCCTTTTAAGTTCCACTGGCCAACCCTTCGCTAAGGATAATTTGTTTATTCATTATTGTTATAATAGAAATAATAATCATAATCATAATATTAATTATTATTATTATTATTATTTTTATTATTATTATTATTATTTTGATTATGATGATATTTTTTTTTTATCCATTCGTTCATCATTTGGTTTCGAACCGGTTTCGTTTCACAAGATCGTATCGATGGGCGCTTAGCCATTCATATATTCGAGATTATTTTGCTGAGAAGCTTCAAGTTTTTTTTTTTTTTATGAAGGTATTGAAACATGAATTGGATCGATGAACACTCGCCCTTGCTTAGATTCGGGGTTATATTGTTGAGAACCTTTGGTATGACGTGTCTGTATTTTTTTTGAAAAGAAAGATAATTAAATATGACTTGGGTTGTTAGAAAATATGGAAATGATGACATGAAATCAACTAAATCACATGGGACAAAAAGCACTTAAAATCAAAGCACTGAATGACGCTCTTCATTCAAAAAGTAAATAAAAAAAGAAATAAATCAATAAAAAATAAAAAGTCGAATAAATAAAAATAATAAATGAATAAATAAAACTATTAATTATGGAACTCACTAAATATTCGCTTTCAAAATTCTAAATACAGCCAGAGAGCACGTTTGGAAATAAATAAATGTATGATAACGTAAAATAAATAGCAAGAACCACGGAGATTTACACAATGTCCATCGCTCTGTCCTCCAAAGCACGGATGGTGGAGTTGATTGCAGTTCAACAATTAACCGCACCTTTATTGTTGTAAGGTTCACTGGTTAACCTGACCTATCACTGAATTGTTAAGTTTATTGTATTGCATTTCCTAACACAGTTGAGTTGATTTTTTTTTAAAGAATGAATAATAACCCTTTTTATAGTTTCAAAGTGGAACGTTTCTAGTTAAAGTAAACCTGTTTGACTATTTTCTTTAAAACGCTTTATTCCTTTTACTATTGGCGCATAAGCAGTGGTTCCGAAGCAGAGTATCACCTTACTATTTCAGTAAATAGTACCATTAGCCTTTTTATCTTGATCGAATCACATGAATATGAGTAAGATGTTGCTAACTACAGCGTCATGTAGTTAAAAGACAAGTCAGAGCATGTGTAGTTGTAGATGTATAATATAGACTTTAAAGAGGATGTAATTTAAATGTAATTCTACGTAAAAATTTGGCCAAAACTGAAGAAATATATCTTTAGCCCATTCGAAGATTTACGGGTAGCCAGCGCCCCTTTTCTGCTGTCATCATATTTTCTAGTCATACTGAATATGGCTATTGTCATGCTACTGCGAATTCAGTTTCTGAGTGTAAATGAGCATAACTGAAGGGGAAATGAGCAGAGAAGGACCTTGTACTTCACAAGCCGTGCAAGATGGAAGCCAAAGTACAATATCGATCCTGCTTTACCTGTAAGTACTGCTGCTGCTGTCTCCTTGGTCTCCTTTCTTGTTCTCTTTATTTTTTGTTTGTTTGTTTTGCTTCCTGTCTCTTCAGTCTTATTTTTAAAGTCGTACAATTTATCACGTCGTTTCTTTTCTTCTTCAAAGTTACATTTCTGACTTCAGAAGTTCGTTCGGACAAGTTTTCGACGTTTCAGTAGCGCGTTTGACTAGAGATCTACACCCGTGTGCATTCCCCTCCTTCTTCATTGGAATATGCTTCCTCTACACCAGATTCCTTTTTCTCTCTCTTACTCTTATACTTTCTTTCTTTTCTTTCTATTTCCTTTCTAATTCCCTTTTATGTCTCACTTCCTTTAAAATGATTTTGGAATAACTATTTTCGAATTCAGTAAATCCACAATTGTTAAGATTTTAGCCCAAAGCCACTGGTTCCTCCAGCGCCATACATCAGAATTCCGCCATTTCGATCACCACATTCTGCACTTCGTCAGAAAATATCACTCACTCACGTCGCACCGGCCTGGCATGACTGGCCGAGTCCTCCACTTTCAGAGAACACTCACGTTGTGCGGTCGGAACGCCACGGCCTCGCCGGGAAACCGTGCTTCGTTGCCGGCTGAGCGAGGAAGATCCGCTGGAGGAGGAGGAGGAGGAGCTCAGGCCCCCGTGACTCGCCTCGACGGTGTGGCCGGCTGGGCGGCTGTCGCGTCCCTCCGGCCCGCCGCCACATGACCGACGGCTCAGGTGGTCGCGGTCACTCACATTACACCTGGTCTGCCCTCCTCGATTGCCACTCGACGGCGCCTCCGCCGAGTCTTCCTCTCGACCACGTATGAGGAAGGAAGAGGGCGGCGCCCACGGCTCTGGGAAAAAAAGAGACGGGAAGTGATGCTACAGACCTTTTCTTCGGGTCTTAAGAGGGTCGAGCGAGCGGGTCGGGACGCCCACGAATTCTTCTCGAAGCCTAACAACCTCCTTGTGTGATACGCCGCTGCACACTCGCTGGCAAACAAAAGTATTAGGGAAACCCTGTGTATAATTAAGGAATTACCATTTTCTTGGTATAATACATCTTGCAGGTTTTCACAGAGCTGTTATTTTCTTGCTTAGTAATTCGTCTTTTTACAGCCCAGTCCATCTCTTCATAGTCTATCTCTCGGCAAGAGCATCTCTTCACGCAGCGCCTAAGCTACAAACAGCAATGAAATCAACCACCTCAGCACAAATGTAAAATCATGGTATTAGTTTACGCGTCTGTCTGACTGTTGATATCTCTCTATCCGCGCAAATAAGTACCTCGCTTGACATTTATCTGCAGATGAAGGAGATCAGAAGGAAGCCCTGAGGTCATGCATACTGCGGGCGAACTATAGCGATTCAGAATTACCGAGAAATAGTATAGGGCTCCCGACGAACGCACGTGATCGCCTCACAGGATGTAAGGCTTCGACCTCGTATCTCGTTTCTCCCTCGCGTCTGCTCCCAACTTCTGCTTTATTTGAAGTCGCATTTATATTTTCACTGAAGACGAAAGGATTTGTTGTAGGAGTTCCTCTCTGGTGTTTTTTTTTTCTTTGTCTCTTGAGAACCTAGATTTTTTAAAGCTCGTTCCTGTGTCAAGTTTCCTTCGGAGGTGATGACGTAGTAGTGACGCATACGTAAAGACGGATGACGACATAACACGTCATAGTTTAGGGGAAACCGGGTTATCCTGTCATGGTTGACTGGAGTAATAAAAAAATCTTTTACACACTGTCTGCCGTGACCGCTATTGTGTTTTAGTTTTTTTTATCATTTAGTATCTTTCACTATTATTGTTGTTGTTATCATTATTATCATCATCATTAAGTCATGGTAATCGTTATTATTATCATTATTAGCAATAATAACACCATTATTGTTGTTATTATTACCATTATTGTTGATTGATTAATACTATTATCATCATCATTATCCCTCTGCGTACAAACTTTCCACTTTCAGTCATAAAATCCAGGGAATCTTCAGTCCTCCATTCCACTCAGGGAATTAGTCTATTTACCTGAGAAAGGAGAGATAAAGGAAGGCCTCAGTACACCATGCCTTGTTCGTCTGCTTTCCGGGGAGCGGCTGACACATCCGCCTCGATGATCAGGAAACTGGCAGAGGACAATCACTCAGCGATGATGAGGATAATTTTTGTTATAAATGTTATCGTTGTTGTTATTGTCATCATTATTATCGTTACCCTTTCCATTATCATTATGATACCATTATCATAATCTCTGTTGACATTATTATCACTATTATTGTTGTTGTTGTTGTTGTTGATTTATAGCAACAACAACAAGAAAGCAATAATAATGATTATAATGATGATAATTTCTTATAAAAACCTTCAGCTATCAAATGGCCTATTGATCACAAAGGCAGAAAAACATGAACATTTTAATTAACTAGTAAAAGGCAGTACAAAAAATAAGTCGTTGATTGATTGCACACGCACGCGCGCACGCACGCACACACAACACACACACACACACACACACAAAGAGAGAGAGAGAGAGAGAGAGAGAGCGAGGGAGAGAGAGAGAGAGAGAGAGAGAGAGAGAGAGAGAGAGAGAGAGAGAGAGAGAGAGAGAGAGAGAGAGAGAGAGAGAGAGAGAGAGAGAGAGAAACGGGTCAGTGAAAATATGATGGCCTGAACTGTATGTCATATAAAAAAGGTAAAAATGGGAATGAGGAACATTGCAAGTGTATGTAATTCATATAAACTTACATTATCTTGCAACAACGTAATTTTTATCATTTTCATATTTCCTCAAGCTGAAGGGTTTACATTCGTCTTCTCGAACAGAAGCCCTACGCAACAGCTTACAAAATACTGTTTGTATTCACGTTTATGTTCTGTCACACCTTTCGTGTTGTGATGCAATTGACTTCAAACTTCAAACTTTATCTCTCTCTCTCTCTCTCTCACTCTCTCTCTCTCTCACTCTCTCGCATTGTGATGCAATCGACTCTGTATTCAAACTTTCTCTCTGTCTGTCTGTCTGTCTCTCTCTCTCTCTCTCTCTCTCTCTCTCTCTCTCTCTCTCTCTCACTCCCTCACTCTATGTAGGTCTCTCTCTCCCTCACTCTTTGTAGATCTTTGTATTCAAACTTTCTGTCTGTCTGTTTGCTCTCTCTCTCTCTCTCTCTCTCTCTCTCTCTCTCTCTCTCTCTCTCTCTCACTCACTCTGACTCTCTCTCTCTCCCTCTCTCTCTTTTTTTTTCTCTCTCTGTCTATCCTTCCCCTCCCTTTCTCCATCGCCCCCCGTCTTCCTTAAGTCGCCTTCATTTTCTTCCTTCCTTTCCCCTCCTACTTTACTTCTTAATCTCCCTCTCAGATAAACGTGTAAAGGATTAATGTGCATAAACTGACGGTCTAACTTCCTCAGTGCAGTGTACTTGCCTCGCATTCATACAGTTATTAAGACGTTACATACGGAGGAACGGACGAGACACAAGGAAGTCATTATACAGTAATAGTAGTGATAATGATAATAAAAGTAATACAAATAATAAAAATGATAATGAGAATAACAACAACAACAATAATAGAAAAGCTTAAAATGAGATGCTAATAGATTCATAATATGATGCCTTTATGTGTGTTTGTGCGTTTCATTCAGATGACAGGGAAATAACCGTAAAATTTCTAAATAACCGTGGCTTATTGACTTGTTTACTGTACATGAAGTCACGGGTGGAAACTAAAGGACATGTAATACCGACCACCATGTTACCTCCCATGTAACATTTGCATCATCATAACCGCCTCTGAACACCACCGCATGAGTCTTATCATCTGCCAGACGACCAACTAACCACCTCATTTGCCAAGCCTTTGACAGGGGAGTTTAAGAATGTTCCCAGACGCCTTCCACCGGACGTCCGCTGTCCTGGGCACTCCGCGTTGGCACCGAGCGATCTCCTGTGCCAGCCGAGGTGCCAGGATGTCTGTGACTCATGAGGCTGTATATATATCCGGAGTTTCGTTGCTGCAGGAGACGGATTAATAGTGAGAGTCAAAGAGGGCAGCTGCGAAGTGCTGAGCTCCTTTGAGCAATGACTGAGTTCAAGGCGAGTTCAAGGAGTGACATTCCCTTAGTGGAATCCTAAATGCAAAGGAGAATGTGCCGTAAAGCTCCACCAAGTAGCATCAGAATGGCTTTGGTCCTGCCCCTGATCCTGGCCAACCTCCACGTCTGCGCAGGGGCTCCATTCCTGCACAGTCGCCGAAAGATGCTCTCCGGGGACTTACGTGCGACCGGCCCTCGAGTAGGTCCTCCAAGCGTGCGAACTCTGGGAAACATTATCTTCGGGAAAGATGGTGGTTATCTTTCCAACACGACAGATTCAGGCGTTAGAGGTAACCAAGAAATTATCAGCGAAGGCGGTGACTTGACACTTGAGGAAATGAGAGGAATACTCTACAAAGAACGGGAGCTGCTGAGACAGGTAAGGCGGCCTTTCCTGGACTACCAGATCAAGTTCTGCGGACGAATTGTGTGTAGAAAACGTATGAGTGAGTCAATGGCTTTACAAAGCAAGTGGTGCAGTTGTCACTTTTCGTTTAAATCTTTACCAGAATCACATCAGAGCCAATAATTTATATGTATAGCGACAGAAAGGCACAAACATATTCGCACACACACACACACACACACACACACACACACACACACACACACACACACACACACACACACACGCACACACACACACACACACGCACACATACACACACACACACACACACACACACACACACACACACACACACACACACACACACACGCACACATACACACACGCACACACACACACACACACACACACACACACACACACACACACACACACACACAGAATCTATGGATAGAGGGATAGATACATTCCCCAGCGAACATATACATACGTGCGCGCGCTTGATAGATGTATGCGTGATTTCCATCGTTAAGGCTAAGATAGAACTGAAAGACGCGTTCCTTCTCCCACAGAAGAGGTCTCAGCGAAGACGCCATCACCACAGCAGAAAGCATAACCACAGACGAGGCAGACACAGTAAAGAGAGAAGAGGGAAGGGGCACAGAAGCCGGGAGAAGAAAGGAGGAAGAAGCAGAGAGAAAAAAGGTAGAAAGAAGAGTAAAGGGAAAAGAGGAAAGGGGAGAAGCAAAGAAAGGAGGCACAGCGAGGAGAGGAGAGGAGGAAGAGGGAGAGACTCAGGTAGTGACGAGTGGCTTGGCTGGATCCCCGACTTATGGCCTCGAAGGACGACGCCCAAGACAACAGCGCCTTCTGCCACGCCTTCTGCGACCACGCCCACGACCCAACCTACAACCACCACAACCAAGCCCTCAACTACAACCACCACAACCACAACCATGCCTTCCATTACCACCACACCGAGGACCACAACCACACCTGCGACTACAACTATAACAACTATGCTACCAACTACAACCACAAGAACCACAACTACGCCTGCAACTACGACCACAACCACCACGCCTTCGCCTCCAACCACACCCTTTGCATTCACGTTTCCCGACGGACAGCCTCTGACGCTCGAACCTGACGCGGAGACCATCATCCCGCTGCTGTAGGCGCTGGGGACGGCCGGCGGGAGGCTCGGCTCGGATGGAGTTCTTTTTGATTTTCGTTAGTTTTATAATCATTGTCATCATCATTAGTATCGTTGTTGTTGGCATATTATTACTGTTATTATTATTATTGTCTTCATCATCACCACCGTCATTATCACCACCAGCATCATCACCATTACCATTACTACCCTCCTCCTTAACATCATCACCATTATCATTATCATTATCCTCAT